CGTGTATACTCCTCCACCATCGCTTGCAAAGCAGTAATATTTTCCACTGTGGTGGCCTCCACAGTTCGACCACACTATGTCTTATCATTCAGGGACCGCCTGCCACGCTTGAATTCCGCAGATCACTTAAACACAGTGCTTCTTGAAGGTGCACTATCACCATAGGCAGCTCGAAAACGATTATAACTCTGCTGCTCCTTTGAATCACATATGTAGTCGTAGAAAACATCGCTTTCCAGCGACATCGACTGTGTTTCATCGTTACAGTCCGAGTATAGCGATCTTTATGGCTTTTGAGCTGTGCCCGGCTGTTGATATTTGGTTCCATGAGTTGCAATCGCTGGTTACAGTTTACATTTTCCTTGCCCGGTCATCTGCCCTTCTTTTTCTCAGTCATCGTATTTATCCTTTTGTGTCTCAAAAAACGCTGTCATGATTTGTCGGTCTAAGAAACACTGCTCTAATGTTTCATATTCCATTCCATTCAGATCCTGGTAGCAAACAAGTCTGGTCTGTTCAGTGAAAAAAAAAACAGAGAATCAGACACATTTTGCTTACCCTGAAGCATCGAATACGCGCCCCTGCACCTCCCATACCAATATATTTACAAACGAGAACTGGGTTTTTCATATTTGCTGGGTGTTAGTAAAAAGATCAAGTGGCTAAGTAGATAGATCACCTATGAGTCCCGGGTTCGAACCGCTCCGCCACCGCCCGTCTTCCCGGGCAACCATTGTATGGCCGCCATCCCCTTTCCTGAATGTTGTCTGTACGTTTGTATATTCAATAAATAAAAAAGAAAGTCAAAAGACAAAGAAGAGACATTCCCCCATGTAGTTGTATTTGAAAACAAAGGACAGAACGAAATCGCTATGTTTCTCAAAAACAGTGGCGCAATATTTGATTGCTGGTTAACTGATTTCCAAATCCGCAGGATCACTGGGGCACATTAGATTTTTTTTCATCTTTCCTTTTATTGAATATTTAAAGATACAATTTTCAGGAAGAAGGAGGCTGCCACACATTCTGATTAAAGTTTTCAATTTCAAATAATAATTATACTTTCACATAGCGAACAGTAATGCCACTCTCGTGATAATATTAAGGAAACCAGTCCGGTCGGAAAGCGAATAATTTCTACTTCTTTGATTTAGACCTCATACTTTTATAAAGCATGTATCGAAAAGTGTTTATTCGGTGATAGCAATAGGTTTAAGGTCATTCGAATGCTGCTGAATCTGTGTGTGCTAGACTTGTTTGCTTGCCAGTTAATGTGACCTTTTCTCAATTAACTCAGGTGACACGATCATGCAATGTGCACACTAGGCTAAGACAGCGGAAGCTCTTGCTGATCAATCTTTGTGGAGCGCACACAGCTTTTGGTCTGGCAAGTGAATGGCATGCATGAAGGTGAATCAAATGTTGCTGGACAACAGATGTGAATTCCCATAGGCTAAATAGTTAAGAACGAACTCGGGGACTGTCGGATACCAAGTTGACGACTCAGAATTTCGGCACTCCATGCGAGGATTGTGTCAGGGAGTCAGTGAGCGCCCCGGGAACTGCTTTGTTCTGAGACAACCAATCAGAATAAGGATACAGAAACTCACGTGACTGACCGGAACCACCAAAAACCAAGACGGTTTGAAACTATCCTGACAACCAGTTGTCGGATATATGTATTTCTATGTTCCCTCTCCCCTCCCTATAATAGCCATGAATTTTGCATAATAAACGAATTCTTACAAGCTTCCAGCTGTTCTATTTCACCATCTGGGGATTTTCTATCTGGAGGAGAAACATTAACGAAAGACGATTCTGTGCGGTTACAACAGGTTAGCTGTGTGGACTTCGGTGGGAACGACAAAAGTACATAATGCCGACCGGTTCTGAAAAGGAAATGAGATGGGTGTGGAGTGTTCTTTGCCAGTTACAAAGGAAAATTTTATCGCAACATGTCCAATGAAAGTGATCCATTAAAATTCTTTCCATTTAGAAAAACCACGTCCTGGGTGGGTAAACCAAAATTTACCAATCCGATATATTCAACGGGTTACGTGCGGATAAAACAGCGACCTCATTAGGAAGACTATCAGTTAAGCAGCATCGGTTTCATGGGACACTAAGTACATGAAGAGTAAGTGTAGCATTGGAGAGTGGTAAAAGGCAAATGTGGGTTCTGTAAAATATGAATCTACTTAAATCAAAACTCGCTTCAGGTTCCATCGCGGTGCAACATGGGGTTTTATGAACCAATATAAAGAAGTGCAAATTAACCGTTTGATTGGCCACTTTCCCTTACATGAAAATTGGACCATTAGGTGTTCAATAGAAGGAGTTAAAAATGAAAAAATGTCTCTCTGGTTTCATCAAATCACTGTCACAACCTACAAAGTCACTTGAGACTGTATTGCAGTCTATTTCGATTAGGACATTGTTGTATCCGGTATGAGTCAGTATGTACGCAAGTAGTGAATTAAGTAGTAATTATATTTCCAGTATGTAAACGTAAACGTAGCCAGTCCGTAAGCCGGTGAGCAAGCAGTGCGTCAACACGCAGACAGGCAGGCACAGAACTGGCGCAAGTCTTACCAAAAGGAGTGTCATCACGCTGGGCAGTTAACGAACCAATCAATGAGGAGAGATCAATACTGACCTTTGATTCGCTGAGGTGGATCGACCTTGTAACAGAGTAAGTCCGCATGACGTGCGTCCGTACGTGTGGTGGCAGGCCGCAACGGCCAATCATGTGATGATGAACGGTAAACGTTTCACTCGACCGCAGGCCACAACAGACATGATGCACCGATTGCTGATGTCAGACGGTGATCGCTAACACTGGTTACACAACTGGCCGTTTTCTTTTCATATCCGAAATCGTTTGGCAATCTCCTCAACAGTGTGATTCGGTCTAATATTCCTTCACAATCGGATGGTGCTCACCGAGCACTTTGCATTTTAATTCACCCTGGCAACAATAACTAGCCCGAGAATAAACCTCCCGGGAAGTCACCAATAAGCTCAGTTTAACCAGCTGCTATGGATACTGTTATTTTTCTTCGTGTTTCCATGTGATATCTTCAATAAAATATCTGTGCGTTTTTACCATTTCGCAGTCTTTAGGAACTGAACCATGGTGAAATCATTTTGTTGATTGCTTTTCTTACATTGCGTAATCAGCCGAAGTTCTATGATGAGTTAGCCAAATTTACCAGGATGGGATGAGAGTGAAAGATAATTCTTTCAAAACTAAATCATCGACTCCATATTCAAGAGTGTGAAAACTTTTTGGTGTTAAAAATCAGGCCCTCTGTGTGATCTGTCGCTTACCGCAATCATGTTCAGTTGAGTTTGGTTCCAGGAAGTTGGCGTTGATGTACGTACTGCAGAATTGAACCTCTTACAATCATGGGTTTTAGAGAACCCCTAATTGCTGAGATATACCTTTCTTCAACTGGGTGATCAAAACCACTTTCAAACAAGTGGATCAGGGATGCGGTCCCCTTTAAAATCCAGTCAGGTGTTTGCACTGCGGCTTCGACCTACTCGAGTAGTCCGGTTTGTTGCATTGAAGACACAGATGTTCCTAAGGTACTGTGACGTCGTAATCGGTCTTCAGTTTTCAGTATTGAGGGCAGAGGGTAGAATACCGGGGTAGGCCCAATCACCACTGGGTCGATGGTCCGACCACAAGTGTGCGTTCCTCCATTGCCCCTTTAGGTGCTCATCAAAACGCCGTTTGAAAGTAGCGTCGGTCTTCTCCTACACCACGGTCGCCGGAAGGGAATTCCAGAGCATTGTTGACCTCCGCGAGAGTTAGTAGACTAACA